CCTGCCATCTAATTCTGTGGTTTAAAAAACCTGTCATGTGTGTCCACCGACGGGATTAAACTCTGCTCTACTTTTTTTCTCATGATCATTATCATGTCTGGACTGAAGGTCACTGGGATGCAGAATATTACAGTTGCCACCTAAGTAATATGAGATAAGTGGAACGCTTCCACCTGGAACACTCATTGTTAGCTTGTTGAGTAAGGTAAACTGGGAGATAGTGTGTCTAGGTGCCGATTCTGTTCTAAGTGAGCTTTATCACATTCGATTCCCATTCACACCTGAGGCAGTTTTTTAAGCATGCAGCTCCAAAAACAATCAACAAACAAAATCCCATGGTTTTTCCAATGGGTGTCTATTTGCATCTCAAAGCTGAAGATTGTAGCTTGAAAAATTACAGGTTTTCTCCACCCAGGCACTTGGTAGGTTGCATGAATCTATACCCCCTAGGGTGACCACAGCCTCAACAGTTTTAAGTAATTTTTCTCTGTTCTTCTTTTTCCAAAATACTGAACCACATTGACCCCCAGGGCACATTATTGCTGGTCGGGCGCGGCTCGTGTTGGCGCAGGCACAGCATCCCATTTTCATTTTGAATGCACATTTTCCAAAACGCATCCGTGTGGTAACACACCTGCGATAGCACTGTGGGATGAGATGGGCGGGGTGAGATAAGATGAGATGCCACCCCCCCCCATTCGTGCGTCTGTGTCAGGAATCTGGGTGTATGACCAGAAGGTGTGTGGACTGACACAGGGAAATGCAGGCTTCAGGTTATAGTATAACAATACAATTTATTAAAGCCTAACAATACATAAACCCAGTGCAAAACATAACACAGTGCAACAAACCAAACCTTCAACAAACAACCATACATACAATACTAAACGTAGTCAGGCAGGCCAGGTCAGTAACAAACGGGCAAACAAGGTACCGAGGAGCAGGTGGGAGAGTGGTCAGGACTAGCCAAGGTCAGTGCAGGCAGAGGTTCGTGCAGAATCAGGGTAGAAGCATGCAGGATCAGATACTGGGGCCAAGCAAAACAGTACAACAAGGTGCACTGACTGCAGGTCTGGGACCATTCCTTAAATTACACCTCCTGCAATCAGTCCTCAGGTGATGCTGACTGAGCTGCAGGAGTGAGCTTCTGGTTGCTGAAGCACCCGCTGGCTGGCCCTGGTACTGCAGCCCACAAAGGCAGGTGAGTCCCACCACCATTGGTGAGTCCATTCCTGACAGTCTGACACAAAATAGTGATGCAGCACAACTAAAATAGTGTCTCTTAAATAATTATAAGTCCCGAAAGTATGAGACACAAAAAAGTCCTTGGATATGTATGTGTGGCCAACCACCATGTGAATTCCAGAATATCACAGTCTTCAACGAATCACCCAAGTGTCAATGCATCACCCAGTGAACCAATATGAGCATCACCTCCTGGATTGGACCTTAATCAATAAGGCGTCAAGGTCCATCCAACACACATTCTGCCCTCCAACTGGCTCATGGCTCCCAATCAGAGGCACCAACACATGTGACTGGAGCTTCTGTCCGGCCTCCTCCTCTCCGTGTGACATGTACCCATGCAAAGGGAAAGTAAAAACAATAGTGACTCTCCATACGTTTTAAAAACAATTTTAATAAAATCTAAAATGGGATACTCACAAACAAATACACTCTCAGTGCCATGTTTCTTCGCATCGTATAAAAGGTAAACTGCCATTTTCACCGCTGGGTCTTCTTACAAAGAGTCTGCAGATGGTTGTGGGAATCACATTAATTCCCGCACCCAAAACCATCCCACAGCATGCAGGCTAGTTTGAACCTAGCCTTCAGCAGATTATCCCTTTTGAAAAGCCAAATTAGCCACACTAAAGGGGTTTCCCACCGTCCTTTTATCTTTTCCAGTGGACTCCCTGAGCTGTACCAGAGACCACTGGCCAGTCCTTCAGGATGGAACCTTTGGACCTCATTTGTGCTTCCTGTTATAGAGTGACAAAGCTCACCTAGGATCAGGCAGGGGCGGACTGACAACTCATGGGGCCCCCGGACAATAGGGGATCTTGGGGCCCCTGTGTCCTTGTCCAAACTCAAAAAAAGCCTATGAAAAAGGTTACCAGGGGCATCTCATGAGGCCCCCTACTGACCCGGGCCCTCGGCAGTGCCCGAGTTTCCAAATGGTCAGTCCGCCCCTGCCTAGGATATAGCATGTGGTGGTGGGGCTTAAGGCATTTTTGGCCCAGTAGACTTTAGTGGGCCCACCTGAAAAACACATAAATATGCATGGAAAAAACGTATAAGAAGTGCACATATCACACATTTTCTTTCACTAGTAACTAGCTTTCAATTGAACTAATATAATAATTAAAAAATAACTCAAGCACACTAAAACTGCACAAAAACACCCGCAGAAGACCAAAGACTCTCAGCTCAATTGTGAATGTATCCTTACAATGCTGATTTCTGAATCCCACATACAAATGTGTACTAACAAAGCACATATATGAATAGAAGACAATACGGTACAGCAAGCAGAGATAGATGTTCCATCACAATGTTATGTTCGTGTAAACATCGAGTACTCGATGGAGGTGCATAATATTTTCCTTTAAAAGAATCAAACTTCAGTCCTTTCACTGATGTTTGAATGGTTCCGTATACATGGATTGGCAGGTACACTTTAGACAATTCAGGTGCAGATGTCAAAGTGACTGCTATGAGCGATGAGTCTTTAATTGGTGACTACAACGATTATACATTTCACTTGTGAGATAAAAGGCAACAATTGACAAACACGCAACTGTGCAGAGAGAAGGCTGCTTACATTCTACGATTCACGACATGAGTGCAGAGGGGGGTAGAGGGGAAGGTAGTTGACAGTTTTGCGTGGTTACCGTTGCTGGTGAAAAAAAACTTTATATTGTCAATAAAATCGGAAAAAAATGAATATGGAAAAAAAGAAGATGAGACTAAAAAAAAAAAACAATATATTCAGATTGTTACACATATTGGTGCTCTTTAAATACTGTAATATAAAATATACGTTTATTGATTTACAAGAGGGACCTGTGACATCACTGACAATGCAGCCAATGCTTTTTTCTGGATAACAGTGAAATCACTGAGAAATGAAGCCTATGCATACACCAGAAATCTATGACATCACCAAGAATGTAATATATCCATACACGAGGGATCAATGACATCATAAAGGATGGAACCTATCCATACACTAGGGAGCAATGACATCATCAAGGATGGGTAAAGTTTCAGCTACACTCGGCTTACCATGCGGCCGCTATCCCTCGATTACTTACCTGTCCTGCGCTCCCACGATGTCCCTCCTGTAGTGTCCCCTGTAATGTCCTCCGGCCGATGCCGGCATCTGTCATCTGGATTCCGTCCCCTGCGAAAGCGTCGGGACATACGGGGACAGAAACGGCGGGAAATTTGAAATATGACAAAAAGTGACATTCACTAAATACACTAAAATAACATAGTAAAAGTTTAGCTTTCTTTTTTTTTTAAATGTGTGTATGTAAAGTGTGTGTGGGGGGGGGGGGGAGGGGGTATTTGCTAGCACCTGGCTACACTATCCATACACTAAGGACCAATGACATAATCAAGGATGCAGCCTATCCATTCACTAAGGACCAATGACATGACCAAGAATTGCAGCCTGTCCATACACTAGGGACCAATGACATCACCAAGAATGCAGCCTATCCATACACTAGGGACCAATGACATCACCAAGAATGCAGCCTGTCCATACACTAGGGACCAATGAAATAATGAAGGATGAAGTCTTTCCATTTCCTAGAGACCAGTGACATTATAAATGGCCCATTTACACTTGGCCCGCTTTTCCTGCAGTTTTTTTTTCCTGCATGACATTCATTTTCCTATTAATTCCCATGTGGCTAATTTACATCTATGAACTGTAGCTTAGTGTGTTTTTTACAATATAGGGCATATACTGTATATGTATATAGCATTTTTGTGTGTCAGTGACATCACTGAGAATGCCACCAATTCATTCATTTTTGACCAATGACATCAATGAAAGTGAAGCCTATCCATACACTCGATAGACCAGTCCAGCGGTTCTCAACCTGGGGGGTCGCGACCCCTTTGGGGGTCGAACGACCATTTTCCCAGGGGTCGCCTAAGACCATTGGAAAACACATATTTCCGATGGTCTTAGGAACCGAGACACCGCTGCTGTCTCCGGCGATGTGTGGGCGGGATGATTTGCTGCCCCTGTCACCGCCTCCTCGCCGCTGATTGGCCACCGGAACTGTAGCTCAGGAGAGGCACACAGGCAGCCAATCACCGGCGAGAAGGTGGAGCTTGGAGAGGAGGAGCCGAGCGGCAGCGCGCGGAGATCAAAGAAGATCGAGGGAGCTGCAGGAACGAGTGAAGAGAGAGGCCAGAGAAGGAAGACAGCTGACAGGTAAGTGCAAATTTTGCTGCTGCAGCCAGGTATGCAGGCTGTAGATGGGAGAAGGGAGAGAGCGAGAGCCCAGGCTGGAGCAGGAGTCAGCAAGGTAACTATCATTGGGTGTCCAGTGGAAGGGATTAGTGCCCCATCATTTGTGTCACTAATACCAACGATGGGGCACTATTCCTCCCCCCACTGACACCAACGATGGGGCACTATTCCTCCCCCTACTGACACCAACGATGGGGCACTATTCCTCCCCCCACTGACACCAAAGATGGGGCACTATTCTCCCCTCACACTGACACAACGATGGGGCACTATTCCTCCCCTCACTAACCACCAACGATGGGGCACTATTCCTCCCCCCACTGACACCAACGATGAGACAGTATTCCTCCCCCACTGACACCAACGATGGGGCACTATTCCTCCCCCCCACTGACACCAACGATGGGGCACTATTCCTCCCCACACTGACACCAACGATGGGGCACTATTCCTCCCCCACACTGACACCAACGATGGGGCACTATTCCTCCCCCCACTGACACCAACGATGGGGCACTATTCCTCCCCCCCACTGACACCAACGTGGGGCACTATTCCTCCCCCCACTGACACCAACGATGGGGCACTATTCCTCCCCCCACTGACACCAACGATGGGGCACTATTTTTCCCCCCACTGACACCAACGATGGGGCACTATTCCTCCCCCACTAACGCAATGATGGGGCACTATTCCTTCCCACCTGATACCCAATGATGGGGCACTATTCCTCCCACTGATACCAATGATGGGGCACTATTTCCTCCCACTGACACCAATGATGGGGCACTATTCCTCCCACTCATACCAATGATGGGGCACTATTCCTCCCACTCATACCAATGATGGGGCACTATTCCTCCCTCACTCATACCAATGATGGGGCACTATTCCTCCACTCATACCAATGATGGGGCACTATTCCTTCCACTGACACCAATGATGGGGCACTATTCCTCCCACTCATACCAATGATGGGGCACTATTCCTTCCCACTGACACCAATGATGGGGCACTATTCCTCCCACTGATACCAATGATGGGGCACTATTCCTCCCACTGACACCAATGATGGGGCACTATTCCTCCCCACTGACACCAATGATGGGGCACTATTCCTCCCACTGACACAATGATGGGGCACTATTCCTCCACTCATACCAATGATGGGGCACTATTCCTCCCACTGATACCAATGATGGGGCACTATTCCTCCCACTCATACCAATGATGGGGCACTATTCCTTCCACTGACACCAATGATGGGGCACTATTCCTCCCCCACTGATACTAATGATGGGGCACTATTCCTCCCACTGACACCAATGATGGGGCACTATTCCTCCCACTGATACCAATGATGGGGTACTATTCCTCCCACTCATACCAATGATGGGGCACTATTCCTCCCACTGATACCAATGATGGGGCACTATTCCCCCCACTGATACCAATGATGGGGCACTATTCCCCCACTGACACCAATGATGGGACACTATTCCTCCCACTGACACCAATGATGGGACACTATTCCTCCCACTGACACCAATGATGGGACACTATTCCTCCCAACTGACACCAACAGTGGGACACTAATCCTTCCACTGAGACCAATGACGATGTGCTATACCTTTCCACTGATTACCAATGATGGGGCACTATCCCTCCCACTGATACCAATGATGGGGCACTATTTTCCTCCCACTGATACCAATGATGGGGCACTATTCCTCCCACTGATACCAATGATGGGGCACTATTCCTCCCACTGATACCAACGATGGGACACTATTCATCCCACTGACATCAGTGATGGGGCTGCTAGTCCTCCCACTGCAAAAATTACAGTTATGAAGTAGCAACGAAAATAATTTTATGGTTGGGGGTCACCACAACATGAGGAACTGTATTAAGGGGTCGCGGCATTAGAAAGGTTGAGAACCACTCTGCTATAGACCAACGACATCACTGAGAATCCAGCCTATCCATTTTACTAGCGACCAGTGACAATCACTGAACCCGCAACCTATCCCTTCACTAGAGACCAGTGACATCACTGAGAATACAACCTATGCATTCACAGGAAACCAGTGACATCACTGATAATGCAGCCCATTCATTCCCTTGCGACCAGTGACTGTAATGAGAATGCAGCCTATTCCATGTTATATGACCAGATGGACATCATTGAGAATGTACCCTAAACTAATTACAAGGACACCAGTGACATCATTGTGACTGAAAAGCCTATCAATTCACTAGAGACAGTGACACCTCACTTGAGAGAATGCAGGCCTATCCCTGTATTTATTGACAGTGACATCATTACAAGATACCAGTGACATCATTACAAGACACAGGGCCATCCATCGTGACTGAAGCTATCCATTCACTAGAGACCTTTTGACATTCTAGATGAAGCATCATATCCATGTATTGTTGACCAGTGACTACAAGACGTAGTGACCTCATTAAAAGTATAAAACCCTACCAATTCATAGGACCAGTGCCTCACTGAAAATGCAGCCTACCCATGAAATTTATTGCCGGGGACATCATTACAAGACACGTGACATCATTACAAGACCCCAGGACATCATTGAGAATGAACCCTAATCTGATTAAAAGGGGCCCCAGTGCCATATCGTGAGAACCCTATCCATTCATAGAGCCCTTTGACATTACTGAGAAAGATCATATCATGTATTTTGACAGTGAATCATTACAAGACGTGTGCATATTAAAGAATGAAGCCTTCCAATTCACTAGAGCAGTGACCCCCGAGAATGAACCCTATCCATGCATTATTTTCTATAACTATATGAGAATGTACCAGAAAAAAGGGCACAGTGAATAATTTCAAGCCCTCAGGAATCATTAAAAACCACCAGTGACATCATGGGAAAACCCCAAAGACACCACAGAAAACCAAAGGGCATCCCCGTGACACATGACACTTTTTTAGCCCCCGAAGTAGTGCAGTTTGTGTGACCAGCAGGAAAAACTTTAAATATAAATGTGAGATAAAAACCCGCAATGTGAATTTATATATTTTTTTATACATAAAAATATGACATATGGCAGTTTTAATATGCCGGGAGTAAAAAGTAAGCAGGGAAAAGGATGGGAGAAAAGTTAAAAGCTGAACAGGAGTCGGGTTTAAGAAAAAACCATTAGCATGAGTTAATCAGGAGCGCAGAACACAAGCCGATGTTTTTTTTTGTGGGATGGAAAGTGAGAGACTACAAGTTTAGAAAAATTTCTGCTGTTTATCCGGAGATGAAAAACGGTTTAGGAGGAAGAGTGGAGGTGTGTGTTTTTCATGTGGTAGGAAAAATGGGGAGAGTGGCAGGTAACAGAAAACTTGAGAAAATTTGAAAATCTTCCCCGCCTTTGTTTTCATACTGACTTTTTTTTTTTGTTTTTTTTTACTTAAAGCAGAAATTCAAACCAACAACTAAAAAAAAACAA